CTATCCCTCCGTCCCAAGTTGCCCGATCTGAGCACACACTCTGTCAGATTCCCCTAAGCTTCCTCCACTCGATCGAACAACACTCCATCTGCCTCTACCTCTCTGGCTCACTCCACTGATCCCTCTTCACTTTTTAGCTTGAAGCCCGATCATGCTCCACTCAACTTCATCCCTGTGCTGAACCCAACTGCCATTCCTCTCTGCAAACCACCAAATCTTGTTGCTGTTTGAACACATCTTCCTCAAGCCTTCAATCCAACTTCCATACCTCCTGCTCTCTTAATCTGAGCTCCACATCAACAACAGGTAGGGCCGATTCACCCTCTCACATAAACATCCCAGCTAATCCCCTTGCACTCCACCTCACAAGCAATTGATATAAACCACAACTCCCAAGCTGCCTCTTTATTCTCTCATTTAACCAATCACACTAAATTGCTATCTACCATACAACCCTCCATCTCCTCTAAATCCCGACAGCCCAATACACAAACCAATAGCTCACTCACAAATCCTCGCATTTTCCCTTAACCCAAAACAGCCACACAGCCCATTAGCCCACCAAAATCAGTCCACTTAAAATCAACCCCTTTTCTCTAAGTCCTCTCTCTTAGTATTATTACTGTTGTTATTAATATTACTGAAGTACATGTGTACGACATGGAGACTGAAGTGCCTGTACATCACGCGCATTTGCCAGCATCGCGATCTACTGCTAGGGATCTTCCTCATAGGAGGATTCTATTTTTGAAAGGTTGTCCCAGGCTCCTATCTAGGAACTCCCGCTATAAAGAGGGTCGTAGCCGGGCAATGAATTTTTGCTGTGATTGCCAACACCACCGTCTTACCAAGTAAGCATGTTGCACTTGAAAGGAACGGTGTTGAAGCTTCCTCATTGAGAGAAAAGCTTACAAGAAGGTAGAGGAAAAAAGAAAAAAAAGGAGTTGCGAGCTCAGCAACCACTGCTCGTCCATCCCTCCACACTGCCAACACGAGAGTCGGAAGTGAGTGTTCCCACCCTAAACAAATTTATTGATTTGAAGTGCGTGAAAGGAACAGCTCTACCGATGAGTTGAAATAGTCCTTCTGAGAGCAATAACACCAAGCTCCAATCCCCCATAGGAGGGAACCCAAAACCTTATTCATAAAGTACATAAGGTATTGAAGGTGGTGAAGGAGAAAGGGTTAATGAAAAGGAAATCCCAATAGCTGCCAGGGGCAAATAACGAAAGGCTACCATCTGTTGTGGTAGTGAGAAGGGAACGGAGACAAGCTCCGTACGATGAGCATCGGGGTGTAACACATGAATTGCGTGTTTAGAGATCCACCGCTGAAAGGTTCCGGTGAAAAGAAAGAAAATATGGTGGCCGAAGCCTCGCAAAGAAAGAGTGGAGGAAAGAAAAATAGACTCGGACATGACATATGGTATAACATTCCAAAGATCTGCCCTCACCAATAAAATTGTAAGAAGTGAGTCCCAAAGAAGGTCCATGATGACGGCCGACCTGACAGTCGTCACATTTAAGAATCCTCTAGGGGATACCATCATCACTGGTCCCGTCTAAAGAGGATGTTAACTTTGATCGCAGGCCATGGATCGAAAAAATCTTCTTGCTAAGAAATGAACCAGAGATTCAGTGGCGACGATGCTTGGAAATCTGAATGCAAGAGAAAGACAAGGAAGATGAAGTGACCATGGATGTTGAAGTGGTCTATATGGTGGGGCACAATGACGATGAGCCGCCTCTCTTAGGAGTCTATCATTGGCATCGTGGAGCAGGTCCCTCCGGTGCTGATATGTCACACAATGATCTATCACAGTATGATCAATATGAAGGTGCAGGCTCCTCGGAAGAGGAAGAGAGGGAGGAACATGAAGAAAATCCCTTGTTCGCCAACACCGCGATGCTCGCAGATGTGCAAAGACAAATGCGACGTCAAATGAAGACAAATGACAAAGAAATCTCCCAGTTAAATGTGAAGATGATGGCGCAGATGGCGATTATGATGCAGAGGATTGTTGCTGCAGGCCTTATGCCAGCCTCGCCTATCAACAACGCCTCAAATAACACTCATTCTAATATGTCGAACCTTCATATGCCTCAAGTTTCAGGAGTGCGGGGTACACCTAAAGATGGTAATAAAATCAACAATTTAACCCGTCAACTTACGTCACAGATTGTGGCAAACGCCTTTAAGCCTGTGACAGTTGCACGGCTAGAGGGTATAATCAACGAGAAGATCAAGGCTGTCATAGCTATTGATCAGGTGGAGAAGTTAATAGGGAAGGGTCGACCCTACCCGGTGGAATAGGATCAAGTTCCATATTCAAAGGGGTACTTTGTTTCGAAGTTCAACACTTTCAATGGCAATAATAACCGTAAGAAGCACTTGGTGCAATTCAAGGCCACTTGTGGCAATGCATGGGGTATCGATTCCTTACTCTTTTGATAGTTCGTTAGTAGTATAACTTCGACTGCTTTTGAATGGTATGTCGAACTGCCAAATGATTTTGTGAAGACATTCGTAGAATTGGAAATTCTGTTCGTGAAGAGGTTTGCCAGTGCAACCGGAAAGACAAGTACCGCTGATCTCTCCTTAGAGAAGCGAAAAGAGACGAGTCAGTGACTAAGTATATAACTCGTTGGCGTAATTTGAGTAGCAGCTAGAGGAGGAACATGCTGTTCAGTTGCTAATGAGAAACATCGATCATAAGATGTTATCATTCTTGTGCATGGCTTCCATCACCACATTTCAGGACTTACTGGACAGGGTGTCAAAGTTCGAGAAGTTGAATTTGTCAAAATCCAAAAACCACCCAGATAAATTCAAGAAGGGCAAAGCTCTAGATGCCAGAAAAAGTGAAGCCCACTATACATTCTCTTTCAGGGCTAATAAGGGAAAGTAGGTGGCATACAATATTAATAGAGCAAAACAACCTACTTTTAAAGAAGATGGGGGAAAACAACTGGTAAACCCCAACCATCAGCCAAAGCTGGTATTGAGAGGAAATGTCAAGCCTCAGACTTTCCTTGGTAGAGGATAAAGCCTAAGACAAACAATAGAAACTGGTGATTGAACGTTCCCAACTCTCAAACAAAAAAATGAACAAAGAATATCCTTTCAAGAGGGAAAGCGTCACCAATTTGATTCGGCATGCACTCAGAGCGGGTTTAGAATTGTCAAAGTGCAATAGACCCAATGAGTTTGATCACACTGACGATCCAAATTATTGCCCTTATCACTGAGTAATTAGCTATCCTATCGAAGATTTCTACGTTTTCAAGAATTGGCTAGAGAGAAAATATAGAAATGGAGAATTCACCTTGTCAGATAATATGCTAGTTCATCCCATAAGAGAATCAACAGGGTGGCCACGTCCTCTTCCGTACCCACCCCTAACTAAAGAAAAAGCCAAGAAGGAATCAACTCAAGATGAGCAATGGGAGACTGAGGTCTCCAAGAAGGCGTTTAAAATGCTGAGGCTCTAATAGGTCACAAAGTAAAAAAAAAAAAAATCAATCCCAAGCCACCAGGCCATACAAAACACAAAGAAGATGGACTTATTTTCATTAATCAGAACTATATATTTTAGATATTTCTTTTACTATTTTAAACAATAGCACCACCAAGTGATTATTTCCAATTGTTAATAGTGGTTGCAAGAGTAGTGGATGGGGTTGCATCTTGTAAAGTGGAGCATGCTTCCTTTTTCTGTGGTGCTTGTTGGCAATTCTGGGGCTTGTGTAATCTTACTTACGACCCATCGGACACCACATTGAGCTCCATTGACAGTCTTCCAATTGTTCGAACATCTTGATTGAGCTCTAATAGGTTGACGACCACTTTAAATAACCTATGCAAAGTGCAACTTCAAGACACCTTCAATCCACTGATTCAAACAATAAGTGTATTATAGGTATCAATAATAGACCACTCAATGTACTAATTACAATAATAGCACACTTGATCCTAAAATAATTACTAACCAACATGAAAATAACATAAGCCCTCATCAAAATGACAACATGGCATGACAATCACTACACAATGGTTAAACTATTATAGAAGCAATACTAATTTTTTGTTGGAGCTCTTCATTGGTCAAACTCAAGCTCACTGTATAACTGGCTTCAGCTAAGGGCCAGATCCCCTTCAAATAGCTTTTTTTTTTTTGCCCATGCTGCGGTGTCAACTTTGATTATCATCCAAAAATAGATGGTCAAGTGTCAGTTGTGGGCACATGGGGGATGCACATTTTTTTCTAGCTTCAATTTACATGACCTTCTTTGATGGATACTTTCTTTTGTCCAATTTAGGATCCATTTTATACGTAAGAATCCAACTAATTTTCTCTTAAATCCGTTCTACCACATATTCTAACTTGGGTTGCCTTATGTCCTCTTGGCTTCACCTCTCTAGATCAATCTTATCTCACGTAAGGTGTGGCAGATTTAACAGGAAAATATTGAATTCAACGGACCCGTTATAATTGAGAATGTTTTCCTTATTTTCTTCCTTCTTTGTTCTCCTATCTGCTGCACACCGGATGGCCCGGAGGCCAACCAAAATGTGTCACGTCACCATATATCCAGCGGTACCTAGCACCGGTACCGAGCAAAAAGTGACGCGGCACGTTCTGGTTGGCCTTTAAACGGCGTCTTTTATCCTATACATAAGCCTTTGTATTCAGGTAATATATATAGCAAAAGTCTTTCTCATGTAAGTTCATGACACCTCTCTCTCTCTCTCTCTCTCTTTCATACACCTGAACTGAACAACGTCCAAACCATCATCTTTTCGTTTTCCACTTTTTAAAGAAAATCCAGGTTTTTTTTAGAACATCATTCTTTATGTTTTTTTTTTGTTTGTCTTAATTACAATACCAATTTGAGCTTCGCCGCTATGATGAGGGCCATCTTTTGAACTATAAACAATAAACTAAAATAACATTGAAAAGATAATTTGCCTTAAGGTTGTTGTTGATATTCTTCTTACAGGGCTTGGACATGCGTGCTCTTCAGAAGTTTCAAGAGATGCAACATTCCATTGGTTGCAGCATCAACTGTAAATATTCTGTTTGATTAATACGCACAGTTTTTTAGCAAAACTTGAATCCTTTGATGATACACTTTTGCTCCATTTGCAGTTCTTGACTGGCTTGGCACTAGCAATCGAAAAGAAGAGTCGAAGGATAGAGATATCCCTATACTGCTTTGCTCGTGCCATCGAGAGCTTCTTCACATGTGCGGCGGATGCTGGCTTTCTTCCCCAAGCCTCCAGGTTGAAGCGAGCTGATGTGGTTGTATTCAGCTTGGCGACAGCCATCATAATGCACTGCTATGCCCAGGAGAGGGAGGTCTTCAGGTCAAAGTACCTGAATGTGCTTGATTGGGTGTTTGGTATTCCTGCTTCCCCTTGCGAACGAAAAATTATTACGTACGGCGTTCGGATTCCTCCGGAGGCGAATCCGGAAGCTCCACGTCACCCGGGGCCCGGTGCATCCGGGTGACACGGCGCGTCCGAATTCGCCTTTGGACGGTTTGGACGTCTCACGTAATAATCTCTCCAAATGAAAAATTATTGCGTGCGGCGTTCGGATTCAAAGTTGCTGCTAAATGCAACACCCAGTGATTATTCTTCTTGCTTGGTAAATGGTAAAGCTATTTTACCAAATACAGAAAGGGATAAAGGCCCTGTATTTATGTTATACAATTCAAGTCATTTATTGCTGCAACTCTGTAAGTAGAACCCAGAAAGCAAATAAGGGGAAAGTGGGCATAGAGCTCTTACCTGGTCGGGTAGGTCCATTGATATATTGATTTGGAGCAAAAAGCAAAATCTTAGGCGTATTTGAGTGCACTTTTTATTTTTGTTCAAAAAAAAAAAAATAAAAAGTAATTGATTTGAATTTTTTATTGATGGCAGACTTCCAAAGAGGGTGAAAGTTTGTGCATTTAAAAGTATTGTTGTTGAATAAATATACCACTATTGATTTATTATGGATTATATTATTTTTTAGCTGCTGGGATTGTTTTCTCTCTCGCATATGCTTACTATTTGCTAATGCTTGATGTGTTGAATCGGCTGTTATCTATGAATTTTATCAAATCTTACTCGTACAACATAATTTGAAGACTAGATAGAGGAATAGAAATAATAGAATTTATTATTAAATGAGATTAAATTCATAATATTGTGAAAATTATGCTCAATCTCTGGATTCGGGTTAAGATTTTATATATAGCTGTAATACTGTTTCACTTATTTTTTATAGTAATTATATTATAAAACTATAGCAAAAATGAAAAAGAAAATTCTTGGTTATAGCGGATATTTTAAGCTATCAAATGAGTATGTTTGTGAACATATGTAGTGATGATTTTCGGATAATCAAACAAATTCATTCACAAACATATCACAAATAAGCCCATGCCTCTCTCCTATTTTATCACATATAACTAAATAATATTATGAAATAAAAAATGTAATTAAATTATATAAGATATTTATGATTTATTTTAACAAATATATAGTATAATATTTAATTAGTTTTTAAATTTCTTAATTAATAAGTATTATATCATTAAATTATAATCCATATAAAATATTTATATCAGATATGATCATTATTTTTAATCAAATATTAATAGAGTTTTTAACTTGCTTATTCACACACTCTATGACAAGAATCAAGCTTCATGTCGAGATTGTTCGCGAGCTTTAAACAATATTATTCATTAACATAAATGAGTTGAATACATGATTGTTCAAACTTGTAAGTTTAAAAATTGAGTATTCATAAAAATATCCAAACTTCTTTGAGCATCACAAACACTCAGTATGTTTGTAGTCCAAAGTCCATTTACAACTAGACAAATTATGTTTATATAGATGTAGAATAAGTATTTAATTTTTTACCGGAAAAATTATATTTATAATAGCGTATTTACAAATTTTCATATACCGAAATTCAAAAATCATAGTTGGGTATTTAACTGCCGCCACCTTTTTACGTGGCTTATGACAGCATAACTAATCCCTCGGATGAACCTAGGGGAGCCACCTATAGGCGCCGATGAGCCCACGTTTTACTTCCCACATTTTGCTACTCGCCTAAAAAAGGCGAGCGGCTTTAGAGGGGGTTAGAATATGAATTATAAGTTCTCAATCATCATGCTGGCCCAACACCAAACCTAAGCCCGGTGGTGGGTCGTTTCAGTCAATAGCAGGTAGCGAACGTTTTAGAGTTCTTTTACTCCCTTGGTTCTTTCCTTTTGCTTCCTCCACTCTTTTTCCCTCCCCCTAATTTATTTGATTGAATTCTATTATTATTTCTAGCATTCTCCCTCCCTAATACTCACATTGCACACACACGATTCTATCCGCTTCTCATGCTTCTCGTTTAGCTTCGATTCAAGAAGATGAACCGCAATCCTAATCTCCTCTATTGAAGAGGAAAAGAACGAAGAACGAAACAAGGGAAGAAAAGTTTGATTTTTTTATTTGTTATTTTCAGAGAAAGGAGAGTGCTTTATCTGTTCTCTCTGACTTCTTCCACGAAGCGATAAGTCTGACTCACAGGTAAGGGGATGCGAATTCCCGTTTGATTTTTTAATTTATTTTGAGATGATCGAATTCCGTGGTTTTGGGGTGCGCAGGGGTGATTTTCAACGGCAAGTGGTGATATTGCCAGCTTTATTTTGCTCAAAATCGAGTTTTGCTGCTGAAGAAATTTGTATATGACGACAATTTATGAGGGGAACTGGGATTGAGAGCTTAAATGGATAGATTTTGCTTTTTCAAGGGTATCTGCTCTGAGGTGATAGATCGATTGGCCCTATTCTCTTTTCTCAATTTAATGAAGCGTTGTGATTAGCTAGGAATGAAACTACCCAGTTTTCTTGTTACCTTTTTGCTTTTATTATTACCATTCGTAGTTTGTCATGTGTGGAAGTCTCCCTGTTTAGTAATTTCAAAACTATGAGAACTTTTATTCAACTGGCCGAACTGTGTGGATGAGGAGAAATTATTAGGCGCGGTGAACATAATTGCTCACAACCAATCATGCAACTATACACGGTTTTGTACATAGCTGTGAACAATAAATCGTTTGGCTATTTGGATGTACTCATATGGTGCTATCCGCAACTAATAGTTTCTCATGGATGAGAAACAAGTTCTCAGGTGTTCGCATTAACTTTCAATAAAAGTCCCCTTTACCTGAAGAGTAGCTTCTACTAGGTCATATACATGTTTTCCAAGCTGTTATGAAACTTTAGATTTCTCTAGTTTGTGTATATAACTGTTTGCTTAAGCTAGGGGAGTGAGAGATTCTAAAGATTTATAAACCTAAAAGGCTTAGTTACAAGGCGATTGTCTTTGCATTAAAGATTTGACATCATTATCTTTATGGTGTTAGATGTGAGATTTATACCTATCACTAGAGTCTAAAATATATTTTCACCCAGATAGAATTACATCTGGGGCAAAGAAGGTGATTGGAGCTGATTAAGGATTATGATGTGGATATCATTTATCAGTCAGGCAGAGCAAATGCGGTTTCCGATGCTTTGAGTAGGAAGTCAGTAGGAGTGGCAACCAGTTTTTTTATTTATGAGTAATTATTGGTTAGATAAATGGAGAGGCTAGAGTTAGAATTAGTTTGTCCATCAAATGTATCCGTTGGAGTTATTTTTTAGGTGATGGTCCAACCCTCATTGCAAGACAAGATCACAGAAGCTCATAAAGTAGATGTAGAAAATGCACAATTTTTAGAGTAGATCCAATCTAGGAATAGATCTAAATTGCAAGTAGATGATCAAGGTGTGATTTTTTTTTTTTGTGGCAGCAGGTTGTGGGTACCGAATAGTGTTGATTTGAGGAGAGAGATTATGCATGAAGCCCATTATTTTGTGTACATTATTCACATGAGTAGCAACAAGATGTATCATGATTTGAAGTGCATGTTCCGGTGATTTGGATTGAAGCGAGAGTTGGCAAAATTTATTTATAAATGTGAAGCATGCCAAATGGTGAAAGCTGAACATTAGAAACATAATGGATTATTGCAGTCATTGTCTATTCCTAAATTAAAGTTGGAAGAAATCATTATAGATTTTTTTTTGCGAGCTTTTTTAGGTCTAGGGAAGACCTTGATGCAAAATGGGTGGTTGTAGATAGATTAATGATGTCTGCTCATTTCTTGAGAATGAGTCAGACATTCTATTGACAAGTTGACTCAACTATGTATCAAGGAGATCATCAGATTGCATGAAATTCATAAGGTTATTGTTTCTGATCGTGATGGTATGTTTACCTCGAAACTATGGAGAGGTATTTAGGAAGATCTGGAGACAAAGTTAAATTTCAATATGACCTTCCATCCCTAGATAAATGGGTAGTATGAGAGAGTTATTTAGACATTGATTTCTTAAATCTTGTATTGAAGGATAGATAAATCTTGTATTGATTTCTTCAATACAAGGTTTTAGAAATCAATATACATATTCATCTCAATTAATTAACATTCAATATCATCAATGTCCAATCATCACTGGTACAATTTAATATGATCAATAACGACAAGTGAGAATCATCAAGTTGAAATCCATAAATCAACGACATGTATGAGAACTTAATTGCATCGAAAATCAATAAATCAAAGTTGTATCATGAACATGTAGGGGTCAATGTCATCAATCTTTTTTATTTTATCAGTTATTTAAAATATAAATCAGTACATCTAATAATTTATATGTTATCCTATCTATTAATGTCATCTACCAATACTATCAATGCGTGTATGCATTAGTATATAATTCAGCAAAGCATGACATTCAGCTTTAATGTGGTGTTTTTATTCTTTTTTTTGCATTCATTGCATCATTATATCATTTTTATTTTCTTTATCTTTGCGACATCTTTATAACATTAATGATTATTATTATAGGTGACTTTCAATAAATAATTAAGAGTCATCACCCTTTGTTCGTCGGTGTAATTGAACATCAGTTACAAGCTAAGATCAGGATAACACAAAAAACCGTCTTTAAAGAAAAGCTTGTCTGTCTACTCTTATGTGCAGGATAGTATGTTTTAACAACCAGCTCGCATTAGTTATAGAGTTAACAACCAGCCTTCTTTGCTTAGATGTACTTGTTACATTTATTTCATATCAATGATATTAATCTCTCTTTCATACATGAAATACAACATGAAATGCTTAAATCTATCAAATACAAGAAATCTATATATTAATTTATAACTTCATAAAATCATAATTTTTATTTTAACTATTGAAATTCAATAATATTACAGTCAAAATGTCCATAAAGTTCATATCTATCATATATGAAATGTTACATGGTAAAAGTACGATTAGAAAAAAAAATTATCGATTTAGGAGAGATTAAATTAGTCAAATTCAAAATCATTGAAAACCAAAATGAGATTTGGGTTACAACGATAAGAAGATTTTTCCTAACTAAAGCAACAGATGAAAACAATGAAAACCATATTTCTCTCTCCTCCCTCTCTCCTTTCCCTTTCCCTTTCCCTTTCCCTTTCCCTTTCCCTCTCTTCTTCCATGGAAAGCCAGGCAAGAATGGGAGGAGGTGGTGGCGCTGGATGGCTTTACTGCTTTGGATTTAGAATAAAATATATATACAAATATTGTTAGTGGCCTAGCATCACAGCACTCCTATCTAGCTCTACATGTTGAATCCATAATTACTGTAGAGCAAAGACTTCAGTATCGCAATAACGATTTTTATTATTTTTGTGCTCTCAAGCCTAACGAGCATAGCGCCGAAGCACTCTAGTTTAAACTGAGTTCAAATTTCATTTTAAAATAATTTTTTATATGTTGGGTTGTTACAGCTCTGGCGTTGGTAGAACCATTGCATTGAGCTCTCAGTCACCATGTTGGAGAAGAGAGGTGGAAAAGAGGAGAAAAGGAAAACATAAGAGGAATGAGAAAGAGACGGAAGAATTTTGGCGTCAAAAGTTTGAGATTTGATCGTTGTCTAGTTAAGGAAATTGTAGAGCATGAGATAAATCTTTGATCTTGATTTCCGCCATTTATAAAAAAGTTGTGAATGAAAATATATTTCTCTCGGGCTTTACGAAGTTTTTATCATGTGATTTTTAATATATTATTGCACTCTTATTATGAATGTTTTGGCTATATAAAATTGAGTTTTCAACATTTGGTTTTTCTTAGAATAATTTTTGAGTATATTGTTCAATTGAGGCTTTTCTGACAAATGCAGTAGTTATATAAATGTTTTGAAATGTTCATTTGAATATCCCTTTGAAATTAAAATTGGAAAAGGGAAATTCAGTGAGCATTCTATTTCCTGGAGGGTGGATCGACGGACTTTCCTGGTACATCACCAATTAAGATTTGGTTAATTATATTTCTTGGTAATTTTCTTTTTCATTGTTGATTGCAATTTGACTCTTAACATAACATAATGCAGAAAAAAGATTCATGTTGCCAAGCCAAAATAGTTGGATAAAGACTTGATGTTGTTAATTTTGTAATATTGATTTCAATTCTAATGCTAGAAATGATTGTCTACTGGAAACTTTATGCTTCTAATTGTGAAAAGTTTGGCGTTCACCGTTCTAGTTTGCAGGTCTTTCTTCCTCCGAAAATGGTAAAGGCAAATGCTTACAAGGTCGTGTAAGAGTTTCTTATGGTTTTAGTCTCGTGAAAGGGAAGGCTAATCATCCTATGGAGGATTACCATGTCGCCAAATTTGTCGAAGTCAAGGGACATAAGCTCGGTTTGTTTGCCATCTTTGATGGCCATTTGGGAGATAAAGTACCTCTATACTTGCAGAAGCATTTGTTCAATAATATTCTAAAAGAGGTAGGCTGTTGGTAGTGTGCATATTATTTTCCAATCATAATCAGTTTTCTAGTGTTAAAGAAAGAAAACCTTTGTATACAACATCTATATTCTAATGCTAATGCTATAGGTTTCATCTTTTAGGATGAATTTTGGATACATCCAGACAAAGCTATCACGAAAGCCTATGAGAAGACTGACAAAGCAATTCTTTCTCACAGTCCTGAACTGGGAAAGGGTGGATCTACAGCAGTTACGGCTATTCTCATTGATGGTAGGAAGCTCTGGATTGCAAATGTTGGTGATTCTCGAGGAATTTTGGTAACATGTGCCTTCCAAAATTTACCTCGGAACCTAGTTCGTTAAAACTCCCTCGCCGAATAAGAAAAGCGAGCGGAGGCCGTGGCCGAATTTTCGGAGCCCACACAGTTGATCATGAACCAGACGCAGAGAGGGACAATATTGAGACGAAAGGTGGATTTGTTTCTAGTATGCCAGGTTGTCTAGAACTGCCTCTGCTAAATCCAGACTCTTTTATATTTTTCTTTATCAAGAGTTAAAACTTATTTAGTTATTTGATATATTTTGCGTATATAGAACCAATATTTGTCCCTACACTATGATTTAATGATGAAAGTGTGATGAGATGGGGGAAACACTCGGTGCTGCCAGATGGTGAGCTTCCTGCTACCATTGGCTGCAAGTGAGTGGGAAAGACACCAGAGGCTGGGAGAAGGCGAGTAACATGGGGAGTGGGATTACCCTATTAAAATATATAGAACTAATTTTGAGTATTTTTTAACAGTTTGATTAGTTTTTTTAATAAAAAATAAAAATAACTAACAGGCATGTTTTATTCTCTCATTCCCTTGTTTTTTGAAATTTAAAAAAAAAAATTGTTGCCAAACAAGCATTGAGCTGTTAGTTTCTCTTATTTGTACTATTCGAGAGCTCTGAATCTGTTCCGGTACTAGACAGAAAGTGATGGTCATAAAAGTGTTGTGTATATCTCAGTTATGAGAGCAATATTATGTCGTTGGAGGCCAAATTTCATAAATCCTGCAGTTCTTTGGATTAAATTGTCCTATCTTTGTGCATTGGTATTCTCTCTTTGACAAACTCTGAGTTTAGAGATGTTTGTAGATGATGTGGATGAATCTGCCAAAATTTTAATTTTAATGATTCAGTATGTAGAAATGATGCTTAAAAGAAAAAAATAGTATAGAAAGTGCAGTTAGATAAACAAAACATTGGAAAAGTTGGGGGCATGATTGAAAATAGAAAAAAAACTAAGATAGCTTATACACTCCAAAAATCACATTAATGAAGCGCGAATATCAAGGCATATTCAAGTTGAAAATTTCTACAAATTAATTTGGGACTACCTGAACTCTGATTTCAACAAACTTATAGTCAAACTACACGTCTGGGCGAGACGAACCTAACGCATCAAAATTGGTCCAATCCAAGCCAAAATGGACCCAAATCAAATATTTAAAGCATACATGGAAACTTAAGAACATTAATTGTATGATCAAATGATCTCTAAATATGGCATGCTTATAATCAAATCGAGCGGCCCGATGAGACGAATCCAATGAACCCAAGATTTCTTAATTATGACATCATTAAAATGCTAAAATGATTAACAAACGCTTTATGATTGACTGGATCATTATGAGCTGTTTGATGGAGCACTCTAGATTTGCTCTAGATTTTCTCCATATTTATTTAGGCCACTTTTGAAAATCTATAAATAGGCCCCTAACTCTCAACATGAGAGGACTTTTGGGGAGGAGGCTAGGACCTTGGGCTAGAGATTCAAGAGTTCTTTAAGACATGAATCCCAGACCACCACCGTCGACGAACCCTCACCACCTGGTTGCTTCCACAAGACTTTCAGCGGCCACTGTCGTTGAACCTCTTCCCGACCATCGTCGTCGGACCTCCAGTCGAACATCATTATCATACCTCGGTTTGGCCACTTTGTTTGATCTATATGTCGCCCAATCACGATTCCACCGACCTCTATCACCTGACTACGGTCCTCAGACCACCGTTACACGACTACAGTCCTTCCAACTTTAGTCGCACATCGATTGTGGCCCCTTCGACCTTCATCACTCGATTATGGTCCTTCCGACCTCTGTTACCAGCCGATTATTTTCCTTCCGACTAGAAGTGTCAATTAGTGATACGACTCAAAAACTAGACTTGAAAAATTTGGGTTTGGGTCAACCCGATAAAGAAATGGGTCGAGTTCACCTGACAACAGTCCTTTTGACCTCCTTTCACCCGATTAAGATCCCTCCGACCTGCTTCGCCTGACTAAGATCCCTCCGAATACCATCTTCTAACTAACTATGGTCCCTCCGACCTCAATGGTCAGGCTATGATCCCTCTGAACACTGTCGCCTAAATGTCGTTACATTGACCTTTGTTACTTGACTACGATCCTCATACCACTGCCCAACTACATTCCTTCCGACCTTAGTTGCTCGCCGACTATGATTCATTCGACCTCCGTCACCCGACTATGGTCCCTCCAACCATCGTTGGCCGACTACGGTCTCACCGACCTTCGTCTCCTCACTACATTCCTTAAATCACCGTCACCGAACTACGGTCCTTCTGACCTCAATCGCTCGTCGATTGCATTTCCTCTGACCTCCATTGTCAGACTACAATCCCTCCAACAGCCATCACTTGACTACAGTCCATCCGACCTCAATCACTAGACTACGGTCCCTCCAACCACCATCCTCAAATACAGACCCATCAACCTCTGTTGCCTAACTATAGTCCTCAAATCACCATCATCTTACTACGGTCATTCCGACCTTGGTCGCTTGCCAATTACAACCCCTTTGACCTCCGTCGTTCAATTATAATCCTTTCGATCTCCGTCGCCCGTAGACTACGATCCCTTCGACCATTGTATCCTACATATGGTCTCAACGACCTCCGTCACCCGATTACGGTCCTTTCGACCATAGTTGCTCGTTGATTACGGTCCTTCCGACCACCGTCGCCTGCCGACTATGATCCCTCCAACCATTATTGCCTGACTATGATCCATCCGACCATTGTCGATTAACTACAGTCCATACAACCTTTGTCGCCCAACTATAGTCCCTCCAACATTTGTCCCCAAATTACAATCCCTCTGACCACTGTTGCCCAAATACGGTCCCTCAAACCATCGTAGCCCAACTACGATCCTTCCGACCAATGAATAGGTCAATGTTCTTTTGAAAACAGCTCTCATGTCAATGGATTTTTTCAACTCCAATCATATAACATGCTCTATATGATGTATATTTTCTACATTGAGTTAATGTCTTCTGCCGAGAAAGGATATCATTTGTAATCAATGACAAACACTAGTGGAATCATTTTAATTGGGCTAGATCCCGTGGTTTTTCCATTTCCTATGTTTTCGAAATAAAAAAATCTGGTCTCGTATGCATGATTGTTACACATCTCTCTTATATGTATGTGAGCTGGATTTTTGTACAAAGTTAGGACGTTAAAACTCTTTATTTCTCTTCCGCCGCGAATGTTATGGCACGCAACAGTAGTCATGAAAGCATACGGCTTTGGATTGAAACTCAAAATATTTTAAATCAAGCTAAACTCATCTACGAAGCTATTGTTGACATGCACTAGTCATATTCAGCTAAGAAAATAATGGTTATGCTTCTTACTCTATCTTCTCTTCCACTTATAGTGACTCCTATTCTTATTTTTTCCTTACTAATTTGTTTGATGGTTAGTATGTTTGCTTGATCAAAGGTTTTGTCCACTGTATTACGCGTTAGATTCCTTCATGTAGTGTGAACATTGATAATTGGTAAATTTATATTTTTCTCTCTATTTTTCTCATGAAAATTCAAATTTTGACTTCTGTGAATAATAGTTTGAAATGATATATATATTTTTCTATGACTAATCTGCATTTATCAGGGGATGTTCCAAGAGTTAATGGCCAGTTAGCTGTTTCCCGTGCATTTGGGGACAAGAGCCTCAAATCACACCTAAGTTCAGATCCAGACATTCACCCAGTGGACATTACTAGTGATACTGAACTGCTTATCCTTGCAAGCGATGGTATATGGAAGGTTTTTTTAACTAAACCAGAATCATGACCTCGCCATTGTTTTTAGTCTTTGGTTTCATTTGGACGACTTTCTTACTACTTTTTAAAGCAGCTTGTAATACAAAAATTAAAATTTTTGTACTTGAAAGCTGCTTTAAGAAGCAATAACAAAGCCATCCCAAACGAAACCTTTGTTACTGCTTCTTAAACAAGCTTTCAAGTACAAAAATTAAAACTTTTGTACTAGAAAGCTGCTTTAAGAAGCAGTAAGAAAACCGTCCCAAACGAAGCCTTAGTCTTTGTTTGAGAAGTTAAAATTGCTTTCTACTTCTTACTTTATTCAGGTAATCGACAATCAAGCAGCCGTCGATATTGCCAGGAAGTTCAAAGATCCACATGTAGCAGCAAAGCACCTAACCATTGAAGCTGTGGAAAGAGATAGTAAGGATGACATATCATGCATAGTTGTTCGATTCAATGCTTAGTTCCCACAAGAAAGCCCTTTTTATTTATAACCTGGAAGCCTTCATACTACTATACAAAGAACTAGGACAGAATTATAAGTTTTCATGATCTATTTTGCCTCTTGTAAAGTTCTTTTAGCCTTTCATTTGAGGTTGGAAGATTTATGAATTTTTCCAGTTGTTCGATTTGCCTGAAGAACAGAAGGCTGTCAGGTGGAAGATTTATTTCACAGAATAGATTTGGAATTGTAAGGATTCATTTGATTTGATCTTATTGAATGATTATAATTATTGAATATTTAGTGTCAAAAGAAAGGATGAAAGTTCTTAATCTCAATTGTGATCTACTGAGTTATTTGCTGTTGATAGTTCCCACATTCTGAAATTGTTGTTCCTGTTCCTATTCAATTGGCATGGAATTTTCTTTTAAGTATTATTGAATGTAGTTAGCTAGGGAAGGGAATGCTTCACTTAAGTGGCGAAGCTATAAATTGTTCAAGGGGGGCCAACTTTAACCTTGTTTTAGCCGATTTTTTTATTTAGATTCAATCAATCACTTTACTATTTATATGTATTATAAAAAATCAATATACTCTATGAAAATATGCTTGCAAATTTCATACGATTTTTTTTAATCCGCTTGCGGGAAGTACCCGGTGCGGGCTTTTCTAAAATCCCAAGATATTTGAAAGATAAGGAACAACTTTTGAAAATAAGAAGATCACTCAAGTAGTTAGGAGTGGTAGTAGACTTGGCAAAATAGATCTAACATTTAGAATTGCCTCAAGCAAGAATGGAGGGCCATAATAGTTAAAAGAATTCATCTTACAAAAAATTAGTAAGTCATTAGCATAAATTAGGTAAGAAGTGTATGTGATAAGTTTGAAGTCTTAATTTGATGCAACTTTCTCAAAGAATGTGGGAAAACATATTCATAACGAAGGTTAACAGGAAGGAGATTGGGGGTAACTTTATTTAATCATTTTTGAAATTGATGAAACCATAAAGAGATCAATATTAGAAAGATGGGCACCAACCTATTTGATAAATTTTTCACCATTTTATTAAGGTGGGATTTTTTCGGGGGTGTTAGATTATTCTTCACACATAAGTATTTATATGTATAATCAGCTTAGAAGAGTGAATAGGAAGAAATTAGTTTATAGTGAGATATGTTAGTAGCACATAGTTGTTTAGGAATGATGTAATAGTTGAGTGTTTTATTATGTTAGAAAAGCAAGTAGGTGTTGAAGAAATGTCTAATGATCAAAGTAAATTGAGTTGAAATAAGATCCCAATTAAAATAAAGATTTTTGAAGTGCATTCATCTAATCTTTATGTTTTATTATTCCCAATGTTGAAAGAACATCCAAAATTTTTTATCTTTTACAAACAACAGATATTGCCTCTCTTTCTCGAGCAATTATTACGTCCAGTCACCGAATGCGTTCAGAGACTAATAACCACGTGCCACGTCACCTAAAACTCGATATTGAGGACTCAGTATTGCTCGGTATACATTCGGAGATATGTTCGGATTTCACCGGACGTAATAATTGCTCCTCTTTCTCGCACACTCCCTAAAGGATAAAAGAGGGAGCCAGTTTGATCTCCTATTGATTGAGTTGAATTGTATTGATTCAGTCAATTGGCTCCCATACGTAGAGAAAAACTTATCATATCAAATTGCATCAATATTTCTTAAATTAGTGCAATTGTAATGATTTTAAAGTCTTCATATTTACATTTTTTTACTATTAACAGTTCCAAAATGTTGAATGGAAATTGTATATTATCTAATTTGAGTAAGTCATGTCAATATTATACATAACTCTCTTGTATTTTCAAAATTGCCTCTCTCTCATTTATAAAAATATTAATGTTCGGATTAGGTTTAACATATAATACAATATTTAGAGGAGGGGGGTAACTGTGATTTTAGAAAATGGATTGGAGTTAATGTCTAATATAATATATAATAATATGAAAGGTTATATATATAATATATTACGTAAACTTCAAAATTTATCGAATAAAAGCAAATCGTGGCGGTAATAGAGGGATGGATAGGATAATCTGGCAATTTTATTTGATTATTTTTAATAAACTTATTAAAAAAATGAGAAAGGAGTAGATGAGTACCGATGGAACTACCTATGAATTATACGGATACGTAAATTTTGTTTAAAAAAAATACGGATACGTTTACGCCACCAAATGTCCACGTGGCTACTCGTCCAAAAAAGGCGGGCCCCTGCCCTAGGGGTGCTTGGATGGGCGAATTATTACGTCCGGTGAACGGACGTCCAGACATCCAATCCAGACGTGCCACATCACCCAAATACACTGGACCCAGTGTATTTGGGTGATGTGGCGCGTCTGGATTGGTGTCCGGATGAATCCGGACACCGGACGTAATAATTTGCCACTTGAATGGCCGTGGACGTCCATTTATGCATGTGCATTGTTCAAGTAAACAAAAATCATTTTCTATGTATTATATTAAATATACATACTGTAATTACTAATTATACTCATACTATTTTAAAGTATATGATATCACAGTGTCATATGCTTATATATTTTTTACTTCAATGTTTGTCAAACAGAGATATATGTACATGTTCAATATTATCTTTAAATTAAATTAAATTATTATATACATAATAATTAAATTATTAGGTATTTATATTATTTTGTGCAGCTATCATACAGATAAAAAACTATTATATTTCTTAATTTTGTAATATTTATTATTTAAACTACTTAAATATTCGACCTAACAAATCTCATAAATATTTTTTGTAAATTTAATTTTGCATGAGCATGCACTTTCTACAAGATTAATGTTACTATGTTAGAAATTTATCAAATATTACTAAAGAGAAAAGATTTGAAAGGAGACAAATATACAACCAAAGAGATAAAAGAATGTTGGCATGAAAATTTTATAGAAACAGAGAACCCGGAAAATTATTATGTGCGGTGCCTAAATGCGTCCGGAGGTCAATACAGACATGCCATGTCACCCACTATATAATGCATTGGTGATGTGGCACATCCGGATTAACCTCCGAATACGTCCAGACTCTGCACTTAATAATCTCTCCATCATAATTTAGTTGAAACGCTTAAAATATATGTGGGGTTGATGCCTAGGATCCTAAGATGTAGAACACATTTTCTGAAGACAAGATAACATGGCATGATAGGCCTTCATGATAGTTGCTCTGCACGGGAAGAATTTGTTTGATGATGAGTTTGGATTAGTCAGATAGGTTGTCATTGATTACTAGTGAGAGGGGAAAAGGAAGGAATCCCTAAGAATATTTGTTTCGATAGTCAAATAATGATTTTGAGCTTAAGTAGTGAGGCTTTTATTGTCAATAAGTTTTGGAGAATCCATTCATATATAGAAAGATATATAGGAGATAGGTAGCAACATGGTTGTAGATCAAGCAGTCTCCTCTAGATTCGATCAAAGGGGGTTAATTCGGTGTTCACGGAACTTAAACCCGATATGCTACTTGCCATTATTACTTAAGGTGCGTAAAATGAAAAAGAAAAAAAAAAAATCCGAACAAAAAAAAAAGGGAGGACCGTGGTTGGCAAAGGAGGTCAGAAGGATCGTAATCGACAAGCGACGGAGGTTGGAAAGACCGTTATTGGCAAGGGACAAAGGTCGGAAATAAATCCGACGAAAGTCTAAGAACAGGTAGAAGTACGACGACGGGTAGAAGTCCGGCTACGGGTGGAAGACCAGCGTCGAGTCAAAATCTGGAATCGGGCGGAAGTCCTGCATCGGGTAGAAGTTCAACGAAAATCCAGTGATGGGCATAAGTCTGGTGACGAGCCGAAATCCGGCGTTGCGTTGAAATCCGATGACGGGCAGAAGTCTGACGTTGGGTAGAAGTCCAATGATGGATAGAAGTCCGGCGATGGACGGAAGTCCGACGATGAACGAAAGTCCGACATCCACGGTGGTCGATGAGAAGCTTGGTGGCAAGAGAAATCTCCCTCTCCTCTCTTCTTTCTCTCCTTGCTCGGGGCCCCTTCCATGAGAAATGATGGGTCAATCTATAATTTTCCGAGAGTGGCATGACCAATAAATAGAAGGAAGATTAAGGGCAAATTGGGAGTGGTTTGAATGAAATGCCGATATTGATTCTCTTGATCATTGACCGTTTACTGGGCATTTGAATGTCTTAATGATATCAAAATTGGACGATCTTGAGCTTGTTGGATTCATCTTGTCGAGACGCTCGATTCGACTATAAGCATGTTACGTTTGAAAACTTTTTGGTAATCCAAATTATGGTTTGAACCTTCCAAATGTGCTTTGGGTCTTTGATTTGGATCCATTTGGACTTTGATTTAGTCGAATTTCAAGTCGTTGGGTTCGTATTTCCGAGACGTTAAGTTCGACTATAAGTTTGTTGAAATCGGAGTTTAGATAAGCCCAAATTTAATTTTTGAAATTTCTAACTTGATTTTGTCTTGAGATTCGTGCCCGATTAAGATAATTTTTTGATGATATATATCTTATTTTGATATTTTTTAAAAATCTTAGCGATGCTAATAATTTTTTTTCTGAAAACCCAAATAGTTTCAGTAAAATTTTCCATGTAATTTGATATAGTATTCTTTCTAATTTTTTTAATAAATCATAACAATAATATTTGAATTTATTTTAAATACAAATAATATTATTTGGATTATTAAAACTCTAACGTAAATAATAATTAGTTATCTTTATCTAGAAAACAATTCGAAGTATTATTTTTAGGGAAAAGTTGGCTTATGATGTTTTGATTATTTTTTGTTAGAAGAAATGTTAAAATTATTGAATTTATTTTTAGAAGAGAATACATTAAAATTTTTATTGAATTTACTCAAAAAGAATTTAATAATTTTAAGATCTGTCTTGATTAAATTTTAATAATAATATATTGACCCAAAGTTTTTTTTTTACTTTAATATTTAAAATTATTATATTTTCTTTTAAGAAAAGAAATTATAATAAAATTATTTTATTATACAATGTTGAGCGATGAAATATTAATTTAGTAAAATATTTGATTTCATCATTTTTAAGATGATAAAATCTTTTCAATTAATAGTTAAGGGTTTTAAAAATAATTTATAAACTTTTTAAAATAGTATTTTTTAAGAGGGAAAGTTGGAAGAGAAGAAAGAAAGGTGAGCAGGCGGCTGTGACGGACCGCGGCCTATTTCTAGGCTCCTTCTTCACTTATTCATCCTCATAAGCCAAAGTCCCTCCTAGTCTTGTTGCTTCCAACTCTTCATCCATCTATTTGTTATTCATCTCCAAGCCTTAATCCACCAATCTAAGCTGGTTTCGAGGTCTATCTTCAATATCATTATTTAGGATCAATCTGGAACGAAAAGACTGGAGATTTGGCTTTCATTTGCTTTCTTGTTTGGTTGGTAATGTTTCCTCTTCCATTTTCCTTTGCGGGTTTCTTATGTCAGTTTTTTTTATCTGCTTGGAAACTCCGAGGAGGTTTACTTTCCTTAGGGACAATGGGAGGGAGGCCAAAGGAAAGAGAATGGACCTGTTTTGGGAAAAAAAAAGCGGCTTTGAGTCGGTGCTTTGATATGGTGTGAATGCTGTTCTTTCGTTGCACACACTTGGGCTGTTCATATATTTTAGATTAATTAGCAGGGAAATTAAGAAAATTACACTTTTTTCCTCATTTCTACACATCTTATGTTTTGAAATATTATGAAAAGAAGCTGTTTGATCTTTTTACTGATTGAGTCGGTTATATGTTGTTTAGCAGGTTTAATTCTCAAGAGGAGGTAAGAAAAGGAGCTCCCTTTATATTAAAACTATATTTCAATAACTCTGGCCAGCACTAGGACAAAATTTCCTCGCACCTTGAGGAAGGTGTGGGATCAGGAGGATGCAACTTTCAATTATTATTTCTCATTCTCCGCCCTTCATTTTTGTTGGTGCTTCTACTGTACAGTGAAGGGATCTCCAATCGATAACGGCTAATTTTTTAAAACTATATAGTCCTCTTATCTTGTGCTTGCACGCCCAATTTGCCTTCTTTTTCCTCGTCCTTCTTGGTAGTTCTGTTGAAGTGACTACTGCTAGATATCAGAGAATCAATAGCGGAACCTAAGCTTGGCATTTAGCTTTTCTCTATTCTTTTGCTTTCTTGGTAATACATATATAATGGCAATCTTCACTTGCCTGGCTATGTTTTTGGCTGGAAAGAAGAAGAAAAATATGGTGAGCAGCAAATCGTTTAACATATATATATGAATTTCATACCTTATTGAAGCTGTCAGCTAATTTGAACTTTGTTCTTTTATTGGAGAAGCGTAGTGGCGATGGTGAATTTCATATTAAGACAAATAATATTTCCAGCTCTTCCACCAAAGATGGCATCCAGGGTCTCCATTTTGCAGCCTCAGAGTCGTTCTCTGCTCTGGAGGAAAGATCTTCTTTAGTTCCTAATGTACCGAGTAATGATAGGTTGGCCAGAGCTGAGTCTGCAGGAGATGTAACTTATGAGAGGGGTGATGAGCATGATGAGATTCAATCGATGAAGAGAGATTACTCTGACTTTGACCTGCAAGGCAATGGGGAGTTTGGCTCCCATGGATCAAACTTCAAGATGCAAACAAATGAAGGGATCACTCCTGGGACAACAATGTTTGCAAGAGGTCATGTGAGTGATCCTGGGATGGAGCAGTCAGTTTGCTTGGCATCACTGGTCCTTAAGCGGTCATGTTCAAATATTGAGATCAAGAGAGCCTATAAGTCATTGAACTCATCAAAGAGCTTCCATTCGTGTAGCGAGCTCAAAAACTTGTCTAGAAATTGCATAGGACAATTTACCTATGAGACTCATAGCAGCCCATTATCTGTTAAGACCTCCTGTAGCGCAGATTATGTGATCCTAAAGAAACGTTCTTCCTGCCAAGTACTTCCCTCTAGATGCAGGAAAATCTGGTGGAAGTTCTTCCTTTGGAGCCACACGAATCTTCGAAAGCCTAATGCTCCTCAAAAACTAGCTTTTGCTCTCACTAATGCTAATCAAAAGTTTGGGTACTCATCCGATACACATGAACTTGTCCAGAAGCTTGATAAGCCGAAGAAATCATTAGAATCTAATAACCAGTGGTTTGCATTCTCCTTGCAATCTTCTTCACCTCAGGATAGAGTCTATGATTGGGTAAACAGCATTGATGATCGCATATTCTGTCCTATTGATGATGAAGAAACTTGCAGTGGAAAGGAAGATGAATGGACTGCTGGCCCTCGTTATATGGAGATAGGGGAATCCTCTTGGAAGAATCATTCACAAACCACCTTATGCGCAGAGGAAGAGGTGAACCAGGCTAAAAATATTATCCAGTCCTTGAAGAATTCATTCTCTTCTGTGGCTCATATCTCTGGCATGGGATTGAAGGTTATTCCTTCCATCTCAGCCTTTGGAAACCTTAGATCTGTTTCTCTTTCTGGAAACTCCATAGGTATGAAATAAGACAACTTCATTTGTATATTTCATGTATATGTAGGCTGTAATCCTTATATTTTTGTTGCAGCTCATATAACTCCAGGGTGTCTTCCAAAACACATTCACAGTCTTGATTTATCTCGGAACAAGATATCAGCAATTGAAGGCCTCAGGGACCTCACAAGATTAAGGGTTCTTAACCTTAGCTATAACCGAATCTCAAGAATAGGCCATGGTATGCATTATGTGATTCTCTGAACAATTTTGTTTTTCTATTGCTAAGAGCTTATTTTTAATCACTTTTCTTTATATTATTTTTAATAAATTTGTTTAATGTTTTTAACTATTTTTTTTTTGTTTTAAAAAACTAAATTATTTTTAAAAACACCAAAAAATAACTTTAAAGTGTTGTGAATATTCTTAATAATAGCTATCACAAGTTCACAACCGGCCACTGCCACCACCGTCATTGACTATCGCCATTGTCATCGCCGTGCGCCACTCGAAGGACGCACTCCAAATTTTATGAAACCTACCACAAAGTTTGATCAAACGCACAATACCTCATCAATTATCTTTTTTGGCGAGGAATGAGAATCTTACAATCTTCTTTTTCTATGACGAATTTTAACCAATATTCCATTATTCCATGGATTATAACAGTGTGTGCTTCCTTGTGAGTTTTGCAACACATTTGTTCGAACATTTCAACATTTTCTTGATTTAACTTATTTTCCAGCAACTCTCATTTTCAGAGTAAGTGTAGTAATTATCTGGAAGAAAAAGGGCTTGATCATCTCGTGCTGTGTTTTCATGCAGGACTATCTAATTGCACTGTCATCAAAGAGCTGAACCTTGCTGGTAATAAGATTAGTGATGTTGAGGGTCTTCACAGACTTCTAAAGCTCACAGGGCTAGACCTCAGCTTCAACAAGATCACAACAACAAAGGCCTTTGGCCAGCTTGTTGCAAACTATAATTCCCTTTTGTCTCTTAATCTCATCGGCAATTCAATACAGAGCAACTTAGGGGAAGATCAGATCAGAAAAGCAGTTCTGAGTATACTCCCTCGTCTCAGTTATTTCAACAAGCAGCCAATCAAACATAGAGTGAGGGAGGTTGGGGCAAACATGGTAGCTACGACTGCCATTGGAGATGGAAGATGGAGCTCTCAAAGGAGACCAATGAGACGGTTGGCCCAAGGCTTGGGCTCTACAACTAAGAGCAAGATTAGAGAGGGGTCTCCTAAGGGAAGGAAGAACCAGTCAATGAAGCTTCAAGTGGAGTTTTATGATTGATGTTGAGGATTTCTGGTAAGAATAATCCTTCTATTGAATAAATCAACAGAGATTGTTGGAATCTATGTTTTTTTCTGGTGATATGTGTGGTGGGGTGTTTTCAAATTTGAGATTGAAAGAGATTTACGAGGGGAGTAAGAAAATATAGGTGGAATTGCTTACTTAGGTTTTGTTTGGGACGATTTTTTTATTGCTTTTTAAAACAATTTTCTAGTATAAAAGTTAAAATTTGTGTACTCAAAAGCTGTTTTAAGAAGCAGTAAGAAAGCCGTCTCAAACGAAGCCTTACAACTTCATCCTGATGAACCTGCAACTTGCTCTTAGAGATGCGGATTTTATGTTATTTTTTGTCAAATTGTATGCTAATAACCATTGTTTAGTTTCTCCATAGTTTTGGACAAAATATCTGACCCTTGAAAGCAATTCAGGTTTGTTCCTCGTTAGTTTATTGAATGTTTTTTGTCTACTTCCATTTGCATTTTTAGACTACGAGGAAGCTTCATGCGAGGAGAATTTTGATTGGCTTAGCCTACTTGAACTTTGCCATGGCTATGAAAGAGATGCTATTTTGGTCACATAAGACGTGGGCCGTCCGATAAACTGATTAGGAGAATAGATGTATTAGATTTGATCTATGTTATGAAATATAGACCTATGACTTATTTTTATCAGATTTAAATGTGAATTTGACTGTTAACAATACAAAAAATGATTTATGTAGTCGACCCTATATAATGAGATAAATAAATCAGTTAAAATCATATTATTATCTTAAAATTATTAAAAAATACAAATATTAAAATTTATATAATATTATTAAATATCTAAAAACAAAAAATTTAGAAAGAAAAATTGAGTTAAATAAATAAATATTTAAAAATCAATTAAAATAATAGTTATGTTGCATTATGGAGTATTCACAATGGTTGAGAAATATAAAGTTTAACATCTTAGTTTTGTACTAAAATCCTACACATAGTTAGATAAGAGAGCGAGTGTAGCATTCACAAGAGACATCAAGATTTTTAAGTGGAAAACTCCTGAAAATGGGGAAAATCACAGGGTCTAGCCCAGTTTGAATGAATCCACTAGTATTTGCAATTGATTACAAGTGACGCCCTTCATTGGGGGAAGGCCTTGGCTTGATGTATTAAATATACATTATATAGAGTGTGTTACATGGTGAAAATAGGAAGAATCATTGTTGACATGTTTGCTTGGCCAGAACAGCCATAGTCGGTGGGCGACGGAGGTCGAAAGGACTATAGTCGATCGGTGACGTAAGTCGGAAGGATCGAAGTTGGCAGGCAACATAAGTCGGAAGGATCATAGTCGGTGGGCGACGGAGGTCATAAAGACTGTTGTCTGATGATGGTCGAAAAGGACAACGTTGGGTAGATGTCCAGTGATAGACGTAAGTGCAGCGTCAGATAGAAGTCTGGCTAATATCCGGCGACGGGCAGAAGTTCGGCGTCGGGTAGAAGTCCGACAGAAGTCCGGTGACGTGCGAAAATCCAGCTTCAGGCAGGAATTCGACGACGGACGGAAGTCCAACATTGGGTAGGAATCTGGTGACGGGTGGAAGTCTATTGTCAGGTAAGAATCTGGCAACGGGAGGAAGTCCGGCATTGGGTAGAAGTCTGTCAATGACAGAAGTCCGGTGTCGGATAGAAGCCCGACGAAAGTCCGGCGACGGGCAGAAATCTGACGTTGGGTAGAAATTCGACGACGAGCGGAGGTCCGACATCGGATAGAAGTCCGGCGTCGGGTAAAAATATGGCGACGAACGGAGGTTCGACGTCGGGTAGAAGTCAGACGTCAGTCGGCGGCCGGGCAGAACTCTGGCGTTAGATGGCATTCGGGTAGAACTTTTGCATTGGTAGGCTGCCGGGTGGAAGTCCGGTGGTGGTTGAGGAAGAGTTTGGTGATAGGAGAATTTTCTTTCTTCACTTCTTTTTCTTCCTTTTATTCTTGTTTCCTTGCTTAATTTTGGCGTCAGTTGGTGATCGGGCAGAAGTTCGGTGTCGCTCGGCTGCCTGGTGAAAGTCAGGTGGTGGTCAAGGAGGACCCTCTTCCTTCTCTTCCTTTCTTCCTTGCTTAATTTTGGTGTCAGTTGGTGATCGAGAAGAAGTTCGAGGTCAAATGCCTACCGGGTGAAAGTCTGTCGGTTGTCGAAGATGAGTTTCTTCCTTCTCTTCTCTTTTTGCTTGGGTCTCCTCCCCCCCCCCCCCCCCCCCCCCCCCCGCGAG